ATCTTTTTGACGACTTTCTGAACACATGAGCCATAGTCTAAATTCCTAGTATCCCTCCCCATAACCCCTACAATAGTCCCCGGTATAATCCCCTTTTTAACCCCCCTTTAAGGAGTTCAGACTATGGCTCACATAGACTTGAATCTGCAGGGCCGCCATAAACCATTATCGTGCGAAAAGCCTTCCAACCCAATGAAGGTCCATGCTAGGTCAGGCAAGCTTCCAGACAAAACCACAAAACCTTAAAGCCTAGAACCCGACCAGCACGCCTGAATACCAAATCCTGAAGCATCGTTCTCAAGTTCATCGGATCCCAAGGAAAAGTGGTTGGAAGACCTGACATCGAGCTCCAAGAAGCCTGTTTTCATACTTCTGTAGCCTTCTTCTCCACCCTGAACACCAACCCCTAACCACTAAGACTCTTTAGGGCATAAAAGGGCGCGCTAATTCAGAGCTTTTCAGATGAAGATTTCAGAATTCAGTGTTTGGGGTTCATGGTACAGGTCGCAATGTATCGCAATTAAGCATTTGGCCGACTCTGGTAATGATGAAGTCGTACCACTACCTGAAATTCCCCAAGTATGATGGACCCTAAACCCTGAACCCTAAACCCTAAACCGCGCTTTTTAACCCTAAGCCGGGGTGTGGAGCTTTTCCGTTGCCTACTTTTGAAGTCCCAAGTGAAAGTCCGTAAAGCGGTTCTTCACCCCGACGCTTTGCCCCAATATTCTTCAAAAGGTTTGCCCAGTAGGCCTGGTTTAGGGTTTAGCCATCTGTTCTGGGAAAGTCTAAAAATTCGAAACCGTGTAGCTTATCCAGTGTTGGGTGGTCTTCTCTACGACGAAAGCCTCCTAGACCGACAGGTGCTAAAACGAGAATAGGAGTGATCAATCCTATATGGGTGTTTTCCCAAATTAGGGGCGCCTTCTTTTGGAGCCCCCCTAATAAGGACCATCGTAAGGACCATAGTATATGGAGGTCTATATTGGGATTACGCCATTTAGGGAAACTACCATATAGCTTAGGTGGAATCCCCACCCAATAATGATGATTGTTGTGGACAGTGATTTTATTCAGGTCCTCATGTATTCTTATCATTCCACTATTACAGGGCGGGGGTCCACCTAAGGTATAGCCTCCGCAGAATTCCTGGTCATCTTGGATACGCTCCCCCACTTCCTCCGCCTGTGCCCTTTTAGAAACCCACATGTAAAGCCCAGTGAGACAATGCTAGCAATGCTTAGATTGCGAGCACGCCCCAACAAAATCAGGACCTTCAAGAAGGACTGCTGGCGCTCTACTTGAAGGTTCATGGGATCTAGTAGCTACTTTTCGCTGGGCCTATAACCCTACTTATACCTGGGACAACCTACATAAGTCCATTTAGGGGGGTTAGAAGTAGGGGTATAAGCCCCTAATACGCAAGCCGTCATCAGAGCTCCTGTCGAACTCCTCATGAACCTTTCTCCGTGGTGGGTGGCTCCGCATCTTGTATTTGCAGGGTCAGGGACAATTCAAGTGGATCCGAGAGGGGGACATTTGCGGGTGGGGTAATAAAGCATACGTACTGAGTCCTACTGACCCATAACCCAAAACTCCAACCCACCCGATACCTACTATGGTGGATACCGAAACCCTGCATAGTCCTACGCACCTTGTGCCTTCGGCATTATGGTATCATGCTATACTAAGATCAGGCAGAGTTTTTAGTATCAACAGTAGACCCTGCCCAACCCCCCAAAGCCCTCTGCTCGAGATAGCCGAGGCAGTGGGTGGGGGTACGCTTCAACCCATACAAGTGGCCTGAAGGCCAAGCACTTGTGTTGAGTGTTTCAGGGTTTTAGGATAGGGTGTAGGATCGGTTTAGGACAGAGGGATACGTGGGTATTGGGGTTCAGGGGTTTGATAGGCTTAGTTTTTGGGTCCAAACAATTTGGTATTAAGGGTCTCAGAGGGGCCCTGGTAAGACCTCCCGGCGAAATACCACGCAAGCAACAGGGGAAACCCTTCAATACTCAACCTAGAGCCTCCAAGTACAGACCAGATCCCCCAATTAGGACCTACATAGCCCCCATTTAAGGACAGCTGGAGGGTCCTGCTGGCGTTCAGGGTTTAAATGTACCGGGTATGCCCTTCTTGTTGGAGTTGTCGTGCTTACATTTTTACAGGTAATTGATAGGGCATCTTCGAATATGAGCTATAGTCTAAACTCCTAGTATCCCCCTTAATAAGCCCTGTGATACTCCCGTATGTAATCCCTTTCAGGGAATTTGGATTATAGCTCATACTGTTGATGGATGAAATCTTGCACCACCTGGGGGCCCTAAACCACTGTAATTCCTAGGACTTTAGGAACTTAAGGTGGTGCAAGATTACCTCCATCAACAGTACGAGCCCGCCTAATGACACAAAATCGCAAAAAGGTTTGTAACAGGGTTTTGGGCTTTAAGCTCAAGATGGGTTTAGGGTTTAGGGTTTAGGGTACCCCAGTAGCTACCACTCTTGGACCCAACCCGCTTAACAGCGTGGTAACCGAGACTCAATGGCCTAACAGCACAATCGCCTTTTGTCGAGGGACCCCTTGCTCAGGAGAGTTTTCAACCTGTTAGCAATTATAGGAAGCTCTCTGGCCATAGTAGATAGAATATGGGGGGGGGGGGTTATGAGGATCTCATTATAACATACCCACAGCCATATTCTATCTAATACGGGGGATTATATACCTGCATACTATGCCTTGAACTTTGACATCCGCATTTTCGTGGATGTTCAGGCTCTCAGGCTGTCCGCAACGTTTGCTCAGTTGGAGACCATGCTTGCCGCACACATGTGCAGATATACATGGAGAAAGTTGCGTTTCCCAAAGCTCAGGCTAAACTAAACCTTAATCTTGAAATGCTAAAAAGTTCCTGACTGCCAAGACCCACTAAACCTTTACGACTTCGACCTTAACACTGAAGTTCTGAACCCAGAACACTGACTACACACGACTCCTTTTCCATAGGGTTTAGGGTTTTAGGGTTTATGGTTTTAAGGTTTAGAAGTTTAGGGTTTAGGGTTTGTAACACATGATTTTGAATGATTCCTGCCCTGAACCCCAAATCCTAAACCCTAAAACCCTAAGCCCTAAACCCTCTGGGCTCTGGAGGCCAGAGTATGGCTGATGACACCGGCAAGGCCCTCTTCCGCAAAGCAGGACAACTCCGCCTCCCTGCTGCTGGGTAAATTATGCTGCTGGCTTAGGGTTTAGGGTTTAGGGTTTAGGGTTCAGGCTTCAGAGTTTGGGGCTTTAGGGTTTAGGGTTTAGGGGTTTAGGGTTAGGGCTTTAGGGGCCCCTAATATTGGCCCTTAGGCTTTTGAGGGGGATTCTGGGGGCCCTTAAGGGTACATATAGGGTATAGAGTAGGTATATAAGGATCCCAGTGTTAAGGGCCCATACTAGGGGCCCATGGTTTCAACCAGAGAATTATGCTGCTGGCTTCCTCAGGGGTTTAGGGTTCAGGGTTTAGAGGTTTAGACTTTAGGGTTCAGGGTTTAGGGTTTAGGGCTTAGGGTTTATTACCATTACTTAAGGTTTGGGGGGTCATTTTGATACTACTTGTTTAGGGTTCAGGTTGGGTAAAGCCACCACCCAGTAACAGTCTATATTAGGGGTCCTATTAAGGGCTATATATAACCATATTATAGTTATTATCCAACTGTTACTGAGAGGCAGGGAGTACCCAAGGTTTAGGGTTCAGGGTTTAGAGGTTTAGATAGACTTTAGGGTTAGGGCTTAGGGTTTAGGATGTAGGGGTTTAGGGGTTGGGGTTTAGTGGCGTAGGGTTAAGGGGTTTAGGGGCTTAGGGTTTTCAATGAAATGGAAGCTGGTGTTATCTAGGGGTGCATCGGGATGATCTAACCCCAATTCTCCGCAGTTTGATGCGTTATACAGCTACATCTACAAGTTCTGGGTAATTCCCACTAAGCTGTAGGGATTTGGGGTTCCAGGCTTAGGTAAGGTGAGCAGAAAGGGTTTGAGGAGGACTTGGGGTGGAGGATTTGGAGTTCAGGGTTTAGGGTTTAGGATTTGGAGTTTAGGGTTTGGAGGGCCTACACATCCGAAGCATCTCAAATGACAGCCCTGAACCTTGAACTGACAGATCCACGGGCCATTGCTGAGGGTAGTCTAAGTTCAAGCTGAAGCCTTTGGGTTCAGGATGTAGGGTTGAGAGTAGGACTCACGGCAACTTAGGCGTTTAGTATGAGGGATTTATAGCTACCTCACCCGTCCTCAGGCGGGGCCGGAGGCGTGGTTCTCATGTATCTTAAGCGGTCTCAAAACAGCCATACTGGGTACCCTAGTAGTACCCTTTTTTCCCTTTCTATATGGAGGGTCTCTTTATTCAAATTGAATGATGGCACCCTTCTTTTTGTCAGGGGTTACTGGGGAACCTAGCATATCTTCCAGAACCTCGGTAAAATTTTATTGAGCCAGAGCTGGGAAAGTAAACTCCCCAAAACCAAGAGGTACAAAAGGGATGCTTCCCTAGATACATTTCGTAGTTTCCCAAAGTTAGGGTACCCCATAAGGGCCCCAAAAAAACAGTAATCCTTAATATGGGGACCCACATGGTACCCCGAAATTTGGGAAACTCCCATTTAAAGGATGCCAAGGGGTGAGGTTGGGGAAAGCTGTTGGCACTTAGGTGCGTCCGTACGGTGCCTTTTAACACAACCGAAGAAGCCAAGGGCCAAAAAACACTGACCCTAAAACCTTAAACCCTTAAACCCTAAGGCCCCTAAACCCTGAACCATACACCCTAAATGCTAAACCTTAAACCCTTAAACCCTAAGGCCCCTAAACCCTGAACCATACACCCTAAATCCTAAACCTTAAACCCTAAACCCTAAACTCTAAACCCTGAACCCTAAACCCTAAACCCTGAACCCTAAACCCTAAACCATCCCCACCCTCCCTACACCCTCAGTCCCTGGCCAGTTGAGCTGAGGTTGGCTTTATGCCCTTCAAGGGCTTGAGCAAGCATGTGGAGGACTTGACAGACTCCCCCCAGTTTAGGGTTTAGGGCTTAGGGCTAGGGTTTAGGGCTAGGATTCAGGGTTTAGGGTTTAGGGTTCAGGGTTTAGGGTTTAGGGTTCAGCATCTCAAGTTCAAGCATTCATTCCGAGAGCAGCTGTTCTAAGTATCAGAGAAATACCCACCCGCCCATTGGG